AGGTTCTTCAACTGAAACTTGCTTCATTAGCTCATCAGCGGCATCTTCCTTACCTGCTACGGAAAGTGTCAAAGCGTAAAACACAAACAAAAAGAAGTTACTTTTGCAATGACCATGCCTGGAAATAGCTATAGGCTTTCAAGGCCTTGGCCGAGATCCCCACTCTAACAAAAGGCTCAACAATTTCATAATCCCTGTAGTCCTTACCATAATATACATTTAAAATAATATACATTTAACAGGATTCAATGATCAATTTATATGGTTCTGCTTTTTCGTGTAAAGTATATATGATTAGTTTCCCATTTCTTGTCTCTTATAATATCATGTCCAAGCTTATTTCTAAAACCAAATGTTCTAAAAGGAGCTAGGCACTAGTCCGGTGCCAGCCCAGGGCCTAGGCGGGGACTGGTTCGAGACACAAAAATTATATTATTATCAATATATTTGCATAAATATTATAACTTATAAGTAATGTCGTATTTGTGTGTCTATATATATCCAAAGTCCAAACACGCACACACATTAAGATGCACGAATGATAGAATCGTCACATTTTATAATATATTATAAATGATATAATCACTTAACTTCATTATGTAATAAATATTTAATAATAATAATTTAAGAATATATAGAAACTTATATAGTTTTTATCTTAATCTACAAGTAAAAAAATGGTAGGCGAATCTAGACGCCATAGGCAGCCGATTAAGCGCTCTATGCGGCGGGCAAGTAGGCACCCTATGCAGCCAACTAATTCATCTAGGCACCAAACCAATCATTCGGGATGCCTAAACTAAAATCGGGCCGCCCGACACCGTCTAGCGCATAGGTGGGCCGGTACTAGTCGGGCACCTAGAGCGGTTATTAACAACGTCTAAACAATGCTTCTTTTAAAAGTTGTACTCTGTACTAATACATATTTGTAGAGTATTTGTATGGTCTTATTTTCATTGTGCAAGTTAACAAACACATTAAATTGTTAAAAGAATATACATAAACACTTCTATTATATTTTCGTAACAAAACTTGAATCATAGACTGCAAGTGTAATGACGTATCATTAGATTTCTAAAAAGAACTAGGAGGTAATTTAGCACATAGCACATAAGGACTTAATCAGAGGCAGGTTTGGTTGGTCGACATAATTTTTGAAGAGATGTCAAAGGAGGCATTCAATTATTAGAAAAATGCAGAATGCAATCAACATTTGCTTACCAAATGGGGTTCTTGATCTGTAATTTTCAGAAGATTCAACATTATGCAGATCAACATCAGATTCAAACTCCCCAAAGAATGAGCCACCACCTAAAGCAAAGCTCTCATGCCTACAGAACATCAAATCTTGCTGAGGAACCATGAAGTCGTGCTGGAAACTACCTCCGCTAAGATTGGGCTTCTCTTCATGCTGATCATAAGGCAGGTCAAACGGGTTGCGGTTTTTCAACAAAACTGAAGGGGCGGAACCCGGGGCAGAGGGTGAAAAAAGACCACCGTTTGATGAACAGTTAGAATTCGTTCTTGGAATCATAATGGAAATGGGAGGATCATCGCTTCCCAGATTCATCAAAGTCCTCCTCACATGGATGCTCACCAGTCTTCTTGCTCTACGTCTCGCCATTAAACTCTCTAACCTTTTATTCCTTTCCATCTCAGAGAGATCCATCAGATTCTTCTTATTCTGAGGATGACCATGAGTTGTCCATTGCACACCACCCTTACTCCTCTTAACATTTTCTTCTCCGTTATCATCAGAATCATCATCCTTCATCATTTTAATCTCACCCTCATCTCTACTCCTCCTAAAAGCAGGCTTCTTTTGCCAATCCTTAGAAAAACGATCAAAGGAAGAGCAACATTCTGTCACAGAATGAACCTCAACTACTTCTCTGATATCCTTCATGTGATGTTGTTCTTCTTCTTCTTCTGTCAGAGTACTTTTATCGAACACATGGTGGTCACCAAAACCTTCTGGTGGGAAAATTGAACCGCCATTATTCTCAACATATGGCGGAAAATCCTTCTTGGATTTCCGACGTCTGACAGACTGAGCACGGCCAACACATTTCTTTTTCTTCCCCACTTCATCTTCGATTTTCCCCCTATTCCCAACGTCATCTTTGGGACGTTCAGGACAGTATATCACTATAACTACAATGCCGGACATTAGCAAAATAGGAAGAGAGTAAATCAGGAACCAGAAGATTGATGAGAAGAACACATACAAGATGATGAACACGAAGCAAACAAATGAGGACAAGGGATGTTCCCTTACATATGTACAAATTAGTTTCATCGAAAATTCAAGAAAAATCCATAGATAGGTTTGAATGTCTTTTGAAGTCATCCCCATTTTCTATCTCAACGCAATACAACAACTTTTTGGAATCTTTGAGAGATATCGCATACTATAATTTACATAAAGACAAAATTTACAGGCTAATTAAGCAGGCTAGACTTTTACTTATTTATCATAAATAAAAGTCTAGGGATGCATAGAAATCAAAGTGCGTTAATTGAGATGATGCAAATATGAGACTGATTGGTTTTCTTTCCATGAAACCAATTAAGTTTTTTGTTTCTGCTTGGATCCATGGAGAAGAATGTCCTACGTACGTACCTCCTCCTCTGTTGCAGAAATGTCCCGTTTTCCCGCTGCTTTCGGAGGATCAGTCGGTAAAGGTTAGTTAGCATAATAAAAAAGAAAGGGATAAATTCCCACGACCCACGGTACTTAAATCAATATATATATACGGACCTTCTTGGCGCACCTTAATGTTACTATGCGCACCTCTTTTTTCCAATTATTGGACTGATTTATCCTTCTTGCTCACGAAACTCACGCTAATGCTTAAGTTAAATGTTAACGTTTTTTTTTTTTGATACATCGGAATAATGTTAACGTTTTATTAATTACATAGTATACCAATCTAAAAAGCAATTGACTCCATGAATTGATACATTTTATTAACACATTTGAAATCCTAACGTTTTATTAATAAATTCTATCGTTTTATAATTTAAAAAGCAATACATTCAACTATTTCACGTTTTATTCATATCATTGACTGGACCAGAAAATTTTAATTCATAATAAATGAATTTCTCTATATATCCTATATTTTAGAATGTTAGATTGATATCATAGTATATCTTTACTTGTCTAAAGTTTTTTAATATTAATTACAAAAAAAAGTAAATTTTTAACATGATTAAATTTCACTACAAGAAAATTGACCTTTTGCGACGAATAATTTGCGACCGACTATGAATATGGTCACAATAGATATACTAATAACGACCAAATTTTATATGGTCCCAAATGATTAATTTTTTGGGGACCATTTTAATTTCCGTTCGCTACTTCTCTAATTTCCCGTCCCTAAAAGTTTTGTTTAGGCGGGTGGCGGTCAATCCAAAAAAGAGCTCTAACTTTTTATTTTCTAGGGAGTACTTTTCTTTGTTTTTCCTTTAATTAAAAAATTGAAAAACAAACCCTGGAGCCCATCTGCGACTTAGCCTCACGATTGCAATCATACCCTAGCTTCGTACCATTCTTCTTCTCTACTCAACTTGGCCGCTCCTCAATCAAACCTCCGAGAAACATCATCGCTCGTTCGCGGTTTTTCTTCTGCAATTCTTTCGTCTTCGCTGCAATACTTCAATTCACGAATTGGAGAAGAACAAATCCAGACTATCACAAACGCCGACTACTGGTCTGCCTTCATAGTAGCCACTTTCCTCGTTTTTGGAAGGGGGAGGAATTAAAACGAAGATTATTCAAATAGGAAGAAGACGAAGGAAACCTAGCAGCTAACCAGGTTTCGGAACAGCCACGATTGTTCTACTCTTGTCGTTTCGTTTCTATCACTAAAATTTGTCAAATGTCTATTACTTGGGTGCTCCCCGAAGTAACTTGGCCGCTCCCCAAACAGAAAGCCACATCAAGTTGTCAAGGTAAACACATTTTCCCATCACTATTTTAGCAATAATCTTATGAAAGTGCTGCAGACAGTTCTTATTATCTAATTTTTGAAACTTATTTGTTCTCATTTCAACTAGTTTTGTTCATTGTATGAGAAATTTGATTGTTCATTTTTCTATTCTGATTTTAATGTGTTATGCAAGTGAATTGGTACAGTTTTGGTTTTGATGTTGTTATTTGGGCTCTTTTGATTACATATTGGTACCCCCTTTAATGATTTCTCTGCTTTTTCTGGACTACACTGTTTGGCTATTTCTCAGATTTTTCATTTTCGTTTGGTTCGAAATCATACTGAAACAATAACAGGAGAATTTACACACAAAAATAACAATAAAAATTACGCAAAACAAGAGTATGTATGCAAGAAAAAAAAGAGGGCATATACGAGTTGTGGGCTTATTCAGTAGACTGCTTCCTGACTTTTTGTCCAGGGAGGAAGCTTTCGAGGCTATTGATCTTAACAAGGTGCCACTTCAGTTCTTTATTAAAGTCTTGCTCTAGATCAAACTAAATTCACATAGATAAAAACGCATACATAGTTAATGAGCACTATTCTGTACTAAATTGCTGCTTATGTTAATTATGAAGTACTTAATTCTTATTTCAATGTTAATCTGTAATGGGTAAAATCACTAATTTAAGATGTTTCTCAATTTACAATTTAATCATTTCAATTTAATCGTTCTCTATGTTATTTCAGAGTGTTGATCTGTTTAGTTTCATAGTTGCATTTCCAGTCTGCCAATCAGAAAATCTGAGCTTTCCCCCGTTCAGGATATGCATCTTTTAAGAAAACCAATATGATAGCTTTGAGATTGATTGGGGTTCGAACATCGGAATAAGCTGGAGTGTTGTATATATCAGTGTGATTCCATTTCAAGAATAATCATATAGTCTTCAATGAGCTGGATTATACTTTTCACATTTAAGCTGATTTCATAACAAGTTAATATTTGAGCTGCACTGATTTTCTTTCCTTGCTTGATATAAATTTCAGAGTAATACTCTGGGTGTTAGGATTAAGTGGAAGGCCGGTCAACTTTGGAAAATCATCACCTATACCACATTCCATTCAAACAAGCGGAAATCATACACAAGCTTGGTAGTTATCTTTATACCTTTGTGACTTCTTGCTTCTGTCATAGAAATAGTGGATGCGCCTAAATGTAATGTTGTTGCCTTTCATACAATTCTAAATTACATATCACTGATTATTTCTTAGAATTTAGTTGATAAAGCGGTACTAATTAGATCTTAAATTTCAAGTATGCAGGTTTAAAAAGTATTTAGCTGATATTATTTTTTATCGTGGAATGTGCTACTATGCAGTTACTTTGGTTAAGTTGAACTGATGGTCATGCTATTAGCGAAGGCTTAATTCGTTCACTAACGGTAATATCTGTTTGTGTAATTATTCCCAAGTAGGGTTGCATATGGACCAGCTAAGTATAAAAAATATTTGTTATCTTTGTTTTTATGAATGCAGTACAATAATTGTTGTGAGATTTAGGATGAAATTAATAAAAGTGGACTATCTTTGTCAAATAGAGAAGAAGTAATTTTTTAGACATTCCTTTCTTAATGAATCTGCCTATTTGTTTTGCATTTCTGTAACTATAGTACTCTAGCTATTGAAGTTTGAATCATTCACATAATAAAATGATGTAGTTACAGAGTATTATTATTATGCATTAGAATTAAATGTCTGGCTAGTTAAGATTTGGTCACCCAGGAAATTAAGTTTTTTATTATTAATGTGGTCCTACTTGTCCGGTTTTACCCCACATCTATTAGTAATGTTTAGAAGGGTGTTTCTATTAGATGTGTATTACATTTTATATTTTATATTTTATATTCATTTACTGATACTAAGGTTTGTGGTTGTAGGTGCAACAAACGTCTGAGTTTATATTGGATGATGAAATTCTTAAGAGAGTCGATTCACACATGTTGATGTTAATTGTTAAGGTTGCTATTGCAGATAGCTCAGATCATTTTTATGTAATATTGACGTCAACGGGGTTACGGGGCTGCTGCATGAAGATGAATTACCTCATGCTTTGCAATATACAGACTATGGAGTATATGATCCTGAAAAGATTAAAGAAATGTTGTATATATCAAGAAAACAAAGATGGGTGGATCATTCCCAGTCATCACGTGTGGAAAGTGAAAAGATGAGACGCTAGCTACTTGTTTTAACTATTTTAGTAGATTAGATGAATAGATGATGCAGTTGATGATTAAATACTTTTTGTATCATTGATTTAGAACCAAAAGTTAAATAATTATATGCAAATAAGATTTTATCCTATTATTATGCATTTGTATATCATCTCTTGTGTACGTATTATATTTTATCATCAAGCACTATTTATTGGAATAAGTTGTTAGAAAGTATTTATACAAATTTGTTTTAGCAAAGGGAACATGGTCGCAAAAGCCATGACAATGTGTTCCTTACTGATATCATTAGCGGCCAGATAAAATTTGGTCTCAAATTGTTTTAGCGACGGACGTCTTTTTCCGGTCGCAAAGTGTCTTTTGCGGCGAGGGCAATAGGGACCAACTCGCAACCACATATTTTGGTCGCTAATAATCTTTAGCGGCCATTTTTTAAGTTTTAGCGACTATTTTTCCCTTCGCTAATGAGCCTTTTTCTTGTAGTGTTTATAGTGTAATGGGTATTTTCACTTCAACTCGATCTAGTGTCATATCGGACTATACTCTATACTCTATATACAAAGGTCATACATTTACTAAACTAAATCAGATCAGACCAATAAATTTTTGTTCAAGATGAAACATCCTTACTAAACAAGTGAGACTACACCAAATTTAGAACTTTCTTAGACTTTTTAGATATAATTTAAAAATATTATTTATAGTGTTATTTATTTTTATAAAGACCGAGTCATCATAAATGTAAAACTTATAAAAAGTTTATTGATTGTAGAGTAAATTTTAAAGTTTAATAGGGGTTTGTGTCTTTGTGAACAAATTTAATACGGAGTAAAAGAATCGAAAAGGACATAATAGTCTATCTAGGGTTACGTAAAGTAGGAATGAAGGTGCGCCTAGCAACACCCTATATATATATATATATATATATATATATATAAAAGAGGAACTTTTAAGAGTATATAGAGCGCCACATAACCCTGTCATGTCATCATATATGACAATTATTTAATTACTTTCTATACCTTTTTTTATTATATTATGTTTTTATTACATGTTGATATGAAAATCCATCTTATTTGGTAAGTTTATCAACATCAAATCCAACGTGCATGTAAGCCATATCTTAATTTCTCATTTCCGAATTTAGAAACAAAAAAGGAAGCTTAGCCTATACTTTGCCATATTTAACTTTTAATATTGATGACCATTCAAACTTTACATGCGGAGTATTAGTTTAGAATACCCAGAGACTCTTCATATTTCTTTTCTTATTAATTTAGAATTGTTCAATCGAGAAAAGAGTTCAATTTTTTAAATCATCAAATACAACGAATATATTAAATCAAAATAACGTTCGTAACATGGCAGATAATACAATCCAAGAAAAAGAAGTAAACAAAGTGATAAAAAGTCTTATGTCTGCCGTCCGCCCTCGAACCAGACTTAGAATATATCACCTCTGTAGAATCAATAATATTCGCTTATCTTGCGATGGGCTTAACCGATGCTAATAACCTCTGATTTACCTCAAAATAACCCCGAATATTAGATTTCCTCTAATTCTTTGTCATGTCATTCAAAAAGTATTTATTTTTAATCTTTAGAAGGTTTTTAATATATATTTTGGAGATGTGAATACTTAGTTTTACATTTTTTTAACTCTCAATATTAGCCTCAAAAAATATAAAAGGGAAAATTTAAATATTTTAAGTAGATTTATGCAACTCACAATAATTTTTTTTGTAAGTAGAGCGATTTTGCAATTAGAGATAGACTAAAAACAAAATAGTGCATATTACAGGGGTGGAAAAAAAGAAATATTTTGCAGGGACTAGAAACGAAGTGTGTTATATTTGTAGGGACTAAAAACTTATTTAAGCCAAGATAGAAAGTATAAAAGGTAAAGGTAATTGAATATTTTTAAGGAAAACCTTAATAAAAAGCGAAAGTGTATCAAACATTTAAATACATTCCAAAGAAGAAAGTGTATCAAACTTTTAAATACGGAGGACGTATATTTTTATCTACTTTTACTATATCAAAATTGAAAAACTAAATAAACGAAAGTATATCAATAAAGTATTAATCGATCATAGTTGATTTTCTATTGAAAGCACATAGCAATTGTACCCCTTTTATGATAATACGAATGACAACAATGATCAGTTAATAAAATACTGACTTTTTCATTACCAATACACACAATGAGGTGATACTATTACTTAAACCATTTACCATCAACAAAAACAACATTTGAAATAATGGAGAAAGAATCCCACTCACCAGAAATGTGCTATAGTGCTCTACATGGGTGGACCTGACATTTGAATTGCGCATGGAAGGTGGAATACGTTTGAAATCCCTGAACTCTTCATTTAAAAAATGACAGAAAAAATGACAGAAAAATGACTTAACAAACGTCTTAATGAGAATAACTGCTATTTTCCAGCTTAATGATTAAGTCAATTTTTGATTGAATAATTAAATCATATTTCCAATTAAGTCGTAAGTAAACATTACTTAATGGCCGAAAGTAAACAACCCCTAAATTTATTTTGCTTTTGCACCACATACTACAAGAAAAACTGTTTTGTGCAACGAAAAAATTCATTGCCAAAGGTTGCTAGTTCCTTGCCCATTTCATTGTGCAACGAAATCAAATTTGTCACGAGATCGTTGCCTAAGCATCGTGGCCCATTGTACTTTATGTGACGATCCAAATATTTGTTGCCCATAATAATACTTGTGCATCATTGACTTTCGTTGCCTAAAAATATACTTTGTGCAACGAACTTTTATTAGTTGTAGCCCCAATCACTTTTGTGTGTTGCAATTATATGTGGCACATATATCTTTAGTGCAACAATATACTATCAATTGTAGCCCATAATATTTTTGTGTGTTGTAATTTTTTGTTGCACATGAGTCTTTTTTCACTCTTTTTTGCAACGAAAATCTACTTTTCCCATATAGTTTTAGGTAAACTGAAATTATGTGTTGCCCGTATAATTATAATGCTAAATCCCCCATCTCTATACACACAAACACATACATGCTGCATTGTTTGAAGTTCAAAACTATGAAAGGAAATAAAAATCTTTTATATACTCATAACAATGTAAAAGTTTGCTAGTTTTCAATTTATTTATTTACAACATTTTGAGGTATAACAAAACAGATAATCAAACTTTAAGCTCGATGGAGTACATAAATCTCTGAATTGGCTCTCAATTTAGATCTCTTGAAGCAGCATTTGGCTTTCAATAAAAATCATCGAACCCTTCCTATGGACAAATGTAAGAAGCTAACAAAAGTTAAATGCATATATCTAAAAACTAAACAAGTAATGGAGAATAATCAAATTAATAACTAAAAATAATAATAAGAGATTGATTGTTTTTTGTCATTCCTGCACAACACACATCAAAAAGATTTCATACATCATTATCATGGCTAATAATTAAGGTACTAATTTCTTTTGGCATGAAAATGAATTTCATTAAAACATGGAAAATAGTACATCCAGTATTACATTCTTTGTTTTCGCCTGCCCAACAAAAACAAAAAAAAATTGTGACAGAATAGCTTAATAGCTTCTAAGATGTTAGTGTAACATCCATTGTAGTACATTAACATAGAACACTGAAGTCTCAAAGCTTCGACCATATCAATATGACCAACTTTAAATCCTATCTTGCCTTTCAAAGAAAAAAGTATCAATCTTTAATTCATCATGCAAATTAAAAAGTGTTAAAAGTCATTAATATTAGGAAAATTATCATTACATGAACAAACAATCATATGATTTTTTTTGAAGTGGCTACAAAGAATTACTAATTACCAAGTAAATAACACAATATAAATTACATAACAAATTACATGGACTACAAGGTAAAAAGGGAATGTAATTCCAAGAACATCAAGTAGCTTATCAAATTGGTCATGGAATTCTTTCTCTGCCATAAATTATTTCATAAATAAGTCAATATATCTGCTTGGTAAAGCCATATAGTGAAACATTGTACAATGTACATCATTAGATTTAGGATATGACATAAAATGCAATTTAACTAACCAGTGTAGTCAAAATCATATCCTCACTGTGGCTTGTCACTAAACCTAAAACCAATCTAGTCAGGTGCAAAGCAGTGAAATCCATAAACTGCCATCTATTAAAAGATCAGAGGTTATGCTGGGGAGAATCCAACACATTAAAAATAAGATGAAATGTAATAATAAAGAAATATAAAGGGTTAATGGACTCTCAATAAAAAAGGCATTACATCAGAAAGGAAAAGGTGCCACCTTTCCAAATCTTACTTAAGCTGAAATTCTCAAGTACTGTAGCTATGTATGGATCCTGTAAAATGCTAGGGAAAGGAAAGAAAATTTTATGGGATGTCACTTTCTTATGTTTCGTAGAAATGAAACAGAAAGTGGAATATAATGAATGTTTCTAAATCTTTTACTTATATTTAGATTTTTTAGTATTTGTGTAATAGAAGTAAGTTTCAGAAACAACTTTATATTCCATGAGTTCAAACAATATTTTATTTTCCACTTCATTTTATTTTCCAAAATCCCTCTAAAATTCCCTTCATATTTTCTTTCCATGGCATTCTCAGAGTTCCAAAGGACCTTAATAGTTAAAAAATTATTGAAACCTGATAAATAACCACTCGATAACTATAAGATTGAGTTGGAGCACCATATAGATAGACTATTGTTCCGCGCGTGCTTCCAGACGATTATGCAATTACAGAAAGTCTTTAGATTGCAATGCATCATTATTCTCGACTCCCTGCCCCAAAGAATTTTGTCAAATTTCTTCATTTAATTGTCCAAAAAAGTGTTGACATTTCCTCAAGGAACTTGTGATTCGTATTATTTCTCTCTAGTCTACACAAAATCTAATCACACACTATACGACATAGGGCACACATAAAAGATGAAGTCACGAGTTAGTAATTTAAATCAACCCAGAGCTGGATTGGAAACTCAA